GCATGAATCGACTTCACGTTGGATTTTTTTATTTTTTTGAAAATATTTTTTTTGATATTTTATTTTAATTTTTGATTTGCGAACAGATCACAAATAACAATTCTTTGCACACGCCTGCTTTAATAATGGACTCGGTCCGGCGTTTAGCTGCGAACAACAAACGTCTCCATTTTTAGGCCTGAAGGAATAAAACAACCATAGAAAATTCGCATTATTCTCCTAGAGAAGCAAGAGTCCATTCTAGTGTCCATTTTAAAGCAGCCGTGTCAAAACTTTCTTTAATTGTGGAGTCGGCAAACAAAAATTAAAAATAAAATCTACAAGAATATTTCAAAAAATATAAAAAATCCCAACGTGATAATCGATCGGTGCGAATGCATTGATTTGGACCCGTTGATGTCATTATATATGAACATTTGAGTTGCCTCTCCTCTGTTCCAAGTCTTAGCCAATTCTCCTTTCCAAGCTCCCTCAGAAAGCCAAGCATGTTTACCATTCACGGACTCTCTGGTTGCAGCTCTGGCGGTTCTAAAACTCCTCAATCAGATAGCCATGCAGTAGCAATCTAACACTCTAGACGATCTGCAGCAGGATATCCGCAGGCGACGCGCGAAAACGCCGCCATAGCGCGATCTAACACATCTCGCTGCCCCACTCCCAATCATTTTTCCGCCAGGTCCCTTTGCGGTTATAGACTAAGGCCCAGGTTCTCCCCAGGATGAAATTCAAACAGGGGAGGGGAGGGGAGGGGAGGGGGGAGGGGGAGGGGGAAACTAGGGGGGTCCCGGGGGGGGGCGTGTATTTTTACCGTACGACTAATTAATGCGTAAAATCGCCTCCACATCCATACAGACGGTATTTGGGGTTCTTGTATATATAAGATAGCCGAGTCGGTGTACAGTTACAGTTAGTTACAGGTTAACTGTGCCACTGTCAGGTAACGTTGTGGAGCTGTCTGCAGTGCAGTGCGTGGTACGGTAAAAATACACGGCGTTGGGTTCCTGGTCGAAGACGGCAATTATTGACGGTCGATTCCCGCGCTGGCAAACTTTTATTGTGGTGGCAGATTAAACGGGGCGGAGGTAATTCCAAAACGGAGGCGCAACGATTCAAACAGCGGGGAGTTTTCCCAAACGGGCGCGCGCGGCGCGCCCGTTGCGCGCAACGTTAGGGAGAACCCTGAAAGCCGTATAATCGCTCAATTCAGCAGTTGTGGCGATTCCACAAGCCTTTTCACTACGCCGGTAGGTAGACCATTTCATAGAAATGCTCGTAATTGTTCGTTGCTGTCACGCGCTTCGTTTTCCTGTAGAAAAGCGAGTTTCCATTTTGGGTGTTGTCATGCCCTGACATTATTTTTGAACGTATCGCGTTCCCATAGATGGTGCCACGATGCCATGTTCATGGCATTTTCACGCAGTTTTTCTTCACGAGCGGCGCTAGACTGCTGCCGGTGCACACGCTGCCTAACTATAAGTTCAGTGTAGCCAAGATGACTTGCGGAGTGAAGGTCCGTACCAGTCTAGCTGCTATCGATGATAGACCGGATCTGATCCATGATGAAGACCGGATGTTCTGATTTTTCCGATGATACGACATAGTTACAGCATCTACATATGCATAGAGCTAGGCATAGAGCATAGAGCATATATAATATACTTTCGGATTCATACATATCCATCGATATTGCATCCATGCATATATCATGCCACTGTGTTTAGTGCATAGAACTGTAAGGTTGTTTTGAATGTGACGAGTCCAAAAGCCAGCACAGATTTACTTCCAATCGAACGTCATCCACGCCAGCGTGGGCAACCGTCTACCAACTCCAGTACTCAGTAGTACGGACGTCGGTGTTGTTTACTGTTACTCTAGCTACACAAAAAATTGTGTTACACAGGTCTTCTAACCCTTGCAAATACGCGTTTGTTGGCAGCTAGTAGTAGTACTAGCTCTAGTACTATACTATGTGGTATTATATTAGTACTAGTAGTCTCTAGTAGCTGTAGTGGCATGATATAGTAGTAAACTTAGTCTAGTACTAGTACTTAGTCTAGATAACCGACCAGGCTGTGTGGCTAACGTCAATATAGGTATTCTAACTCTAGCAATACCGTTTCTTGGAGGCTAGTAGTCTAGTACTAGTAACTAGTACTAGTACTAGTGATTAGTGCAGTAGTGCTAGTACTAATAGTAGTACTACGTACTACTATACTAATTATTGTAACATGTACTTGTAGTAATCTAATAGTAAGTAAAGAATATTCATAGGTCTGCATACAATTGAATTTCTCCTGGTCAACGTCAATGTGACTTCGTAATGCTAACAGCGCCCAGTCTCAGCCATACAAATAAGCAGCTTAATTTTTAACAGGGCTGCAATTCGTGACATATATATTAGAAATAGCAACTCCAGATCAGACGGCATCGCACATGTGTCATCTCGCTTCTTCTGCACAGATAGGCCTGCAAGCATTTGCACGACTAGCTTATACTGTAGACCAATTGCTTTTAGTTTGGATAGTAACAATAGAGTGGTCAATTGTTATGGCGATGCTTTTTCTATATGTAAAACTAGCATCCCAGTGAAATACCGTTATCTGGCTTCATTGCAATGTCATCGCGTTAACTGAATGAAGGCTGTATGTGTAGAATGAACTTTCATGGACCGTATAATTGCTGAATTCAGCAGTTGTGGCGGATTCACAAGGCCTTTTTCACTACGCACGTAGGTAGACATTTCGATAGAAATGGTCGTAATTGTTCGTTGTGCTGGTCGGCGCGCTGGTTTTCGCTCTAGAAAACCGAGTTACCTATTTTTTTGGTGTTTCATGCCCTGAATTATTTTCGAACATATCGCCTTTTTCATTATTACGTCGTCATGGTTTGTGATATAGGTGAACAATTTCTATTTACATGAATAGAGGCGTATTATTTCCCGCATGTATTATATAAAACACCAGCTATGTATCCGCGTGCGGCTGCCGCTTGTTACATGAAGCCGCTGACGCATAATAAAATACAATTCATATAAAGGTTTATACAACACAGTGTAGAAGTAGAAGGTGTGACACTTTTATGATGATTTCATTGAACTGCATAAGAGCAGCAGCTCAATGCAGCTGAGCTGTTCCATTGTATTCCCGTAAAATTATCGACTGGCTCGGCTGGCAGCGTATGGATGCAGTGCGCCGGGCCTATGCATTCGGCGCAGCGGATCCATAGCTGGCCAGCGCTGCATACTGTCGTAGGGACGTTCCCATGCCGGCTCTGGCGTCGTAACGTAAATACACCCGGCCCCCCCGGACCCCCCTACCGTTTCCCCCCTCCCCCTCCCCCCCTCCCCCTCCCCCTACCCCTCCCCTCCCCCTGTTTGAATTTCATCCTGGGGAGAACCCTGGGCTTTAGTCTATAACCAGAAGGGACCTGGGTAAAATGATTGGAGTGGGGGCAGCGAAGATGTGTTAGATCGCCGCTAGGCGGCGTTTTCGCGCGCGTCGCGCGGATATCCTGCTGCAGATCGTCTAGAGTGTTAGATGTACTGCATGGCTATCTGATTGAGGAGTTTTAGACTGCAGGCTGCAACAGAGAGTCCAGTGAATGTAACACATGTTGGCTTTCTGAGGGAGCTTGGAAAGGAGAATTGGCTAAGACTGGTAACAGAGGAGAGGCAATCAAATGTTATATATAATGACATCAAGGTCAAATCAATGCATTCACCGATCGATATCACGTTGGGATTTTTTATATTTTTTGAAAATATTTTTTAGATATTTTATTTTAATTTTTTGTTTGCCGATCACAATAAAAAGTTTTGACACGGCTGTTTAAAATGGACTAGAATGGACTCTGCTTTCTCAGAGAATACGAATTTCTAGGTGTTTATATACCTTCAAGGCCTAAAAAAAGACGTTTGTTTCCGCTAACCCGACCGAGTCCATTTTAAACAGCCGTGTCAAAACTTTTTATTGTGATCGGCAAACAAAAAATTAAAATAAAATATCAAAAAAATATTTTCAAAAAATAAAAAAAATCACAACGTGATATCGATCGGTGAATGCATTGATTTGACCTTGAAGTCATTATATTTATGGGCTGTTATACGT